GTGGAACGAAAAATTAAAAAAATCGAAAAAAATCAAAGTCCATGATCAGCGAGAAAATTTTTAACAACATAAGCAATTTTTAAAATCTTTTACATATAAATACCATACGATATATGTATACATTTGAGCATGGTGAGACATCTCAGTTCCATAGTCACTCCATATGAAAATGAAAAAATTTACAAATTTTTTCCTAGGGGGGTGAATTTACCTAGAAGTCCACACACATAAGAGATGGAAAGGAGCAACTGAGGATAAAGTTATCGTATGTTGTACCCCATATATGTCTATCTTGCAAGAAAGTTCGTATGTTGAGTATTCGCCGAGAAAGTTGAAAAATACAAAAAAATTGATTTTTCAAAAACACGCTGAAATGAGCGAGGGAAAAAAATAATGAAAAGATTGAAGTCATATTCGATGGTTTTAAGAGATACGAAATTATTTTGGAAATATAATATCTACACATAAGTAGTATAATGTTACTACGTTTGTAGTTTTTCGTTTTAGCACACTTTACCATATACTTTTGAAAATCAGATAATTATTTTTTATTCAAATAGTTGTCGTAGGTGGGCACATGTACGGAGTTATAATCATAACTCCCCATGCTCCACAACATTGCCCATACAAAGTTTGCTCGGGGACGCTTGTGTATGAGCAAGACGAAAAAATACCTGAAACTCGACTCCACCGATTGAATTTTTGTAGACCGAAAAACATGACCTTTTGCTCCCTATGGGAAAGTTGCAAAACGATTCCAGTTATGAGTAAGCATTTCTTACTAAATCTAGCCGAGTCTGGTATATAACAACAGGGAGAATCACCTCCAGACGGCTGACGAGTTAATATGTTACATATTGATTCTGTCTTAGATGTGCGAAATTACAGCACGCGCTTATTTATAATTTGGCATTAAACTTTCGATGACTTCGCGTCATCATGTATTATGGATATTTCAGTGGCATCATAACAAGATACATTGGAAAAACATCTTAATACATCTTTTTTAATCGCGATACTTGGTTGATCCTGCCAAGGAAGCACACTTAGGTCATAGATTAAGCCATGCAAGTGTTAGTTCAGGTAACGAAACTGCGAATAGCTCATTAATACGCTCAGAATCTATTTGGCGGCGACCAACAGGTCTTAAATGGATAGCAGCAGCAACTCTGGTGCTAATACATGCGATTGTTTCTCCAGATGTGAATTATGGAGGAAAAGTTGACCTCATCAGAGGCACGCCATTCGACTGAGTGACCTATCAGCTTGTACTTAGGGTCTTTACCTAGGTAGGCTATCACGGGTAACGGGCGGTTACCGTCGGACTGCCGGAGAAGGCGCCTGAGAGATAGCGACTATATCCACGGGTAGCAGCAGGCGCGAAACTTTCCCACTCGAGACTTTCGGAGGAGGTAATGACCAGTTCCATTGGTGCCTTTTGGTACTGTGGATAGGGGTACGGTTTTCCACCGTACCGAAACCTAGCAGAGGGCCAGTCTGGTGCCAGCAGCTGCGGTAATTCCAGCTCTGCGAGTTTGCTCCCATATTGTTGCAGTTAAAACGCCCGTAGTCTGAATTGGCCAGCAATGGTCGTACGTATTTTTACGTTCACTGTGAACAAATCAGGACGCTTAGAGTATGGCCACATGAATGACTCAGCGCAGTATGAAGTCTTTGTTTTCTTCCGAAAACAAGCTCAATGAGAGCCATCGGGGGTAGATCTATCTCATGACGAGTGGTGGAATACTTTGACTCATGAGAGAGAAGCTGAGGCGAAGGCGTCTACCTAGAGGGTTTCTGTCGATCAAGGGCGAGAGTAGGAGTATCCAACAGGATTAGAGACCCTGGTAGTTCCTACCTTAAACGATGCCGACAGGAGTTTGTCATTTGTTAATGGCAGAATCTTTGGAGAAATCATAGTTCTTGGGCTCTGGGGGAACTACGACCGCAAGGCTGAAACTTGAAGGAATTGACGGAAGGGCACACCAGGGGTGGAGCCTGTGGCTTAATTTGAATCAACACGGGGAAACTTACCAGGACCAGATGTTTTTTATGACTGACAGGCTTCGGGTCTTTCAGGATATTGTTTTTGGTGGTGCATGGCCGTTGGTGGTGCGTGGGTTGACCTGTCTAGCGTTGATTCAGCTAACGAGCGAGATTATCGCCAATTATTTACTTTGCCGAAGTCCTTCGGTTAAAGTTCTAATTGGGACTCCCTGCGATTTTAGCAGGTGGAAGAGGGTAGCAATAACAGGTCCGTGATGCCCTTTAGATGCTCTGGGCTGCACGCGTGCTACAATGTTAGGATCAATAGGACTGCGAGCCTGAGAGGGTGCGCTACTCTTATAATCCCTAACGTAGTTGGGATTGACGTTTGTAATCAGCGTCATGAACCAGGAATCCCTTGTAAATGTGTGTCAACAACGCACGTTGAATACGTCCCTGCCCTTTGTACACACCGCCCGTCGCTCCTACCGATTGGATGACTCGGTGAAATCACCGGATGCTTACGAGCAGAAAGTGATTAAATCACGTTATCTAGAGGAAGGAGAAGTCGTAACAAGGTAACGGTAGGTGAACCTGCCGTTGGATCAGTTCTAGTTTTAATAACTAACACCAACTTCTTTTATTAAACAAAAACCAATACAAAATTAAAAACTAACTTCATCAAAAACCAAGTCTCTAAGCAATGGATGTCTTGGCTCCTCACACGATGAAGAACGTGGCATAATGTGTTAAGTAACCGGAGTTGCAAACATCATGACAGGTTAATCTTTGAATGCAAATTGCGCTAAACTCGATCTCGGTCGAGAAGCATGGGTGTGACAGTACTACATCTTTTATAATAATTCTTATTCTAAGCGAATAAGTAAATAATATATAAGACAAACAACACGTAGTCTGCCATACGCAGGAAGACCCGCTGAACTGAAGCATCTCATTAAGCGGAGGAAAAGAAACTAACTAGGATTCCCTTAGTAAAGGCGATCGAAAAGGGAACAGCCCAACGTCTTAATCCCGCAAGGGAAATGTAGTCGGTTCACCTATTGCACTGGTCTAAGTCAGATGGAATGCTGCGCGATTCAGAGTAAAAGCCTCGTATGACCAACCGCAAGCTTACGATGGACCGGGGAGAGTCGGATACTTTGAGAGTAGTGTCTTAAGGGGGTGGTATGTCCCATCCAAGGCTAAATAACGTGAGGAGACCGATAGATTACAAGTAGTGTGAACGAAAGATGAAAAGAACTCTAAAACAGAGGGTGAAAAGTTCCTGAACTTGCTTAGGGTTAAGGCTATTTATAGTACCCGTCTTGAAACACGGATTAGGGAGTTTATCTGTAGTGCGAGTCTTTGCACGTTAACTGTAAAGGCGTAGAGAAAGCAACTGGCGTTTGCATGGCTACTGAGCATTACTGATAGGACCCGAAAGGTGGTGAACTTTGCCTGCACAGGTTGAAGTCAGGGGAAACTCTGATGGAGGACCGTACGGGTTATTGATGTGCAAATCATTTTTCTGATGTAGGTAAAGGTGCGAAAGACTCATCGAACCACTAATAGCTGTTTCCCCGAAGTTTCCCTCAGGATAGCTGTAATGCATTTAGTAAGGGAGTAGAGATATGGGTAGAGGTGCAGGAGCTTCGGTGTTCTCAACTTATTTCCAAACTTCGAACTCCTTGTTAGCATTTACCTAACTGAAATGCTTAAATGAATTAGCGTTACAAGTGGCTCTGACCGGTAGCGGTCATGGCGAAATGGGATAACCATACGTCTGAATAAGGTGCCGAAATGTACTATCACTGATACCAATAAAGGAGTCATGTATTTAGACAGCAGGTCGGTGCCCTAAAAGCAGGTATCCGCTAAAGAGTGTGTAAAACTCACTGCCGAATACTAGGGCCCCGAAAATGAATGGCGCAATATAGTACTACCGATCTCAGACATCAGTTCTATTGAACTGAGAGTAGGGAGTTGACATTTTTGTGAAGGTGCAATGTGAGTTGGACTGGAAGATGTCTATTACAGATCCTAATTGAAGTAGCGATTATCCGGCTTGTATCCTGGGGGCTGATGAGAGTAGGGTTTCTGGACAACTTAAACAGATCCGAGTTAGTCGATCCTAATCTCAATAATGGGAGAAAGGGGTACAGTTGATATTCTGTAACTGACACAGTTCGCGGCAACGCATACTATTTTTCTCCGCCAATCTATACCGTGGTAGGATCTCTTCCTACATGACAGTACTAATACCCAGGGAAACTGGTCATCAGGCGAACTGGCGCGTTCTGCTGGCAAAACATAGCTTCGGTTATGTCAATGGCTATTGGATTGGTCCATGAAGCGAAAAATAGTTTACTGTGTCACTCGTACGATAACCGCATCAGGTCTTCTAGGTAAGTAGCCTATGGCCATTGAGGCATGATAGTTCAGGGAATTCGGCCAATTAGAGCTGTAACTTCGGGATAAAGCTTGGCTCTGATGAAAATCAGAACCGATTGTTACGGAGAGCCCAACTGTTTAATAAAAACGTAGTGTCGCGCTGTGGTAGTATAGCCAGTGAACGCGACATGAATCTGCCTCGAGTGCTGTGTCTGTTAATATGGTTCAAGCCAACGAAGCACCGGTAAATAGCTGGGTAAACTATGACTCTTATCAAAGTAGCGAAATACCTGCGTCAAGCTGTAAATTAGTGACCTGCATGAACGGCTATGAGGTTCTCACTGTCCCAAACTGTCTCTGCAGCGAACCACTTGTAGTGGGGAACGGTCACTAGATATCGCAGCGGGAAAGGAAGACTGTAGAGGCTTCACTTGGTCTAGTCTCTGGTATAGTTCCTGCGGTGTAGACTAGGTGGGAGGACAATCGATTCTGAAAACCACACACCTGTTTGGAATTATGCCTTACCTATCACAAGGAATAGGACTAGATAGAAGTTGGCATCCTCTGCCAAAAAAAAACGGAACAACATCACTGCCACGGAGAGGAGAAAGACACACACACACCTTTCTTATCTAGTCCTATTCCTTGTGATAGGTAAGCATAATTCCAAACAGGGTAGTGGTTTTTCAGAATCGATTGCTCTCCCACCTAGTCTACACCCCCGCAGGAACTATACAAGACTAGACCAAAGTGAAGCTCTACAGGGTCTTCTTTCCCCGCTGGATATCTAGTGACCGTTCCCACTACAGTTGGTTCGCTGAGAGACAGTTTGGGACAGTGAGAACCTCATAGCTCCGTTCATGCAGGTCACTAATTAAGTGACGAGGTATTTCGCTACTTTGATAAGAGTCATAGTTACCCCAGCTATTTACCGGTGCTTCGTTGGCTTGAACCATATTAACAGACACAGCACTGAGCAGGATTCATGTCGCGTTCACGTGCTATACTACCACAGCGCGACACTACGTTTTTATTAAACAGTTGGGCTCTCCGCGTAACAATCGGTTCTGATTTTCATCAGAGCCAAGCTTTATCCCGAAGTTACAGCTCTAATTGGCCGAATTCCCTGAACTATCATGCCTCAATGGCCATAGGCTACTTACCTAGAAGACCTGATGCGGTATGCGTACGAGTGACACAGTAAACTATTTTTCGCTTCATGGACCAATCCAATAGCCATTGACATAACCGAAGCTATGTTTTGCCAGCAGAACGCCGCAGTTCGCCTGATGACCAGTTTCCCTGGGTATTAGTACTGTCATGTAGGAAAGAGATCCCTACCAACGGTATAAGATTGGCGGAGAAAAATAGTATGCGTTGCCGCGAACTGTTGTCAGTTACAGAATATCAACTGTACTCCCTTTCTCCCATTATTGAGATTAGGATCGACTAACTCTGGATCTGTTTAAGTTGTCCAGAAACCCTACTCCTCATCAGCCCCCAGGATACAAGCCTGGATAATCGCTACTTCAATTAGGATCTGTAATAGACATCTTCCAGTCCAACTCACATTGCACCTTCACAAAAATGTCCACATCCCCTACTCTCAGTTCAATAGAACTGATGTCTGAGATCGGTAGTACTATATGCGCCATTCATTTTCGGGGCCCTAGTATTCGGCAGGTGAGTTTTAACACACTCTTTAGCGGATACCTGCTTTTGAGGGCACGACCTGCTGTCTAAATACATGGACTCCCTTTATGGTATCAGTGATAGTACATTTCGGCACCTTATTCAGACGTATGGTTCATCCATTTCGCCATGACCGCTTACCGGTCAGAGCCCACTTGTAACGCTAATTCATTTAAGCATTTCCAGTTAGGTAAATGCCTAACAAGGAGGTTCGAAGTTTGGAAATAAGTTGAGAACCCGAAGCTCCCTGCACCTCTACCCATATCTCTACTCCCCTTAACTAAATGCATTACAGCTATCCTGAGGGAAACTTCGGAGGAAACCAGCTATTAGTGGTTCGATGAGTCTTTCGCACCTTTACCTACATCAGAAAAATGATTTGCACATCAATAACCCGTACGGTCCTCCATCAGAGTTTCCCCTGACTTCAACCTGTGCAGGCAAAGTTCACCACCTTTCGGGTCCTATCAGTAATGCTCAGTAGCCATGCAAACGCCAGTTGCTTTCTCTACGCCTTTACAGTTAACGTGCAAAGACTCGCACTACAGATAAACTCCCTAATCCGTGTTTCAAGACGGGTACTATAAATAGCCTTAACCCTAAGCAAGTTCAGGAACTTTTCACCCTCTGTTTTAGAGTTCTTTTCATCTTTCGTTCACACTACTTGTAATCTATCGGTCTCCTCACGTTATTTAGCCTTGGATGGGACATACCACCCCCTTAAGACACTACTCTCAAAGTATCCGACTCTCCCCGGTCCATCGTAAGCTTGCGGTTGGTCATACGAGGCTTTTACTCTGAATCGCGCAGCATTCCATCTGACTTAGACCAGTGCAATAGGTGAACCGACTACATTTCCCTTGCGGGATTAAGACGTTGGGCTGTTCCCTTTTCGATCGCCTTTACTAAGGGAATCCTAGTTAGTTTCTTTTCCTCCGCTTAATGAGATGCTTCAGTTCAGCGGGTCTTCCTGCGTATGGCAGACTACGTGTTGTTTGTCTTATATATTATTTACTTATTCGCTTAGAATAAGAATTATTATAAAAGATGTAGTACTGTCACACCCATGCTTCTGCGCGAGATCGAGTTTAGCGCAATTTGCATTCAAAGATTAACCTGTCATGATGTTTGCAACTCCGGTTACTTAACACATTATGCCACGTTCTTCATCGTGTGAGGAGCCAAGACATCCATTGCTTAGAGACTTGGTTTTTGATGAAGTTAGTTTTTAATTTTGTATTGGTTTTTGTTTAATAAAGAAGTTGGTGTTAGTTATTAAAACTAGAACTGATCCAACGGCAGGTTCACCTACCGTTACCTTGTTACGACTTCTCTTCCTCTAATAACGGTGATTTAATCACTTTCTGCTCGTAAGCATCCGGTGATTTCACCGAGTCATCCAATCGGTAGGAGCGACGGGCGGTGTGTACAAAGGGCAGGGACGTATTCAACGTGCGTTGTTGACACACATTTACAAGGGATTCCTGGTTCATGACGCTGATTACAAACGTCAATCCCAACTACGTTAGGGATTATAAGAGTAGCGCACCCTCTCAGGCTCGCAGTCCTATTGATCCTAACATTGTAGCACGCGTGCAGCCCAGAGCATCTAAAGGGCATCACGGACCTGTTATTGCTACCCTCTTCCACCTGCTAAAATCGCAGGGAGTCCCAATTAGAACTTTAACCGAAGGACTTCGGCAAAGTAAATAATTGGCGATAATCTCGCTCGTTAGCTGAATCAACGCTAGACAGGTCAACCCACGCACCACCAACGGCCATGCACCACCAAAAACAATATCCTGAAAGACCCGAAGCCTGTCAGTCATAAAAAACATCTGGTCCTGGTAAGTTTCCCCGTGTTGATTCAAATTAAGCCACAGGCTCCACCCCTGGTGTGCCCTTCCGTCAATTCCTTCAAGTTTCAGCCTTGCGGTCGTAGTTCCCCCAGAGCCCAAGAACTATGATTTCTCCAAAGATTCTGCCATTAACAAATGACAAACTCCTGTCGGCATCGTTTAAGGTAGGAACTACCAGGGTCTCTAATCCTGTTGGATACTCCTACTCTCGCCCTTGATCGACAGAAACCCTCTAGGTAGACGCCTTCGCCTCAGCTTCTCTCTCATGAGTCAAAGTATTCCACCACTCGTCATGAGATAGATCTACCCCCGATGGCTCTCATTGAGCTTGTTTTCGGAAGAAAACAAAGACTTCATACTGCGCTGAGTCATTCATGTGGCCATACTCTAAGCGTCCTGATTTGTTCACAGTGAACGTAAAAATACGTACGACCATTGCTGGCCAATTCAGACTACGGGCGTTTTAACTGCAACAATATGGGAGCAAACTCGCAGAGCTGGAATTACCGCAGCTGCTGGCACCAGACTGGCCCTCTGCTAGGTTTCGGTACGGTGGAAAACCGTACCCCTATCCACAGTACCAAAAGGCACCAATGGAACTGGTCATTACCTCCTCCGAAAGTCTCGAGTGGGAAAGTTTCGCGCCTGCTGCTACCCGTGGATATAGTCGCTATCTCTCAGGCGCCTTCTCCGGCAGTCCGACGGTAACCGCCCGTTACCCGTGATAGCCTACCTAGGTAAAGACCCTAAGTACAAGCTGATAGGTCACTCAGTCGAATGGCGTGCCTCTGATGAGGTCAACTTTTCCTCCATAATTCACATCTGGAGAAACAATCGCATGTATTAGCACCAGAGTTGCTGCTGCTATCCATTTAAGACCTGTTGGTCGCCGCCAAATAGATTCTGAGCGTATTAATGAGCTATTCGCAGTTTCGTTACCTGAACTAACACTTGCATGGCTTAATCTATGACCTAAGTGTGCTTCCTTGGCAGGATCAACCAAGTATCGCGATTAAAAAAGATGTATTAAGATGTTTTTCCAATGTATCTTGTTATGATGCCACTGAAATATCCATAATACATGATGACGCGAAGTCATCGAAAGTTTAATGCCAAATTATAAATAAGCGCGTGCTGTAATTTCGCACATCTAAGACAGAATCAATATGTAACATATTAACTCGTCAGCCGTCTGGAGGTGATTCTCCCTGTTGTTATATACCAGACTCGGCTAGATTTAGTAAGAAATGCTTACTCATAACTGGAATCGTTTTGCAACTTTCCCATAGGGAGCAAAAGGTCATGTTTTTCGGTCTACAAAAATTCAATCGGTGGAGTCGAGTTTCAGGTATTTTTTCGTCTTGCTCATACACAAGCGTCCCCGAGCAAACTTTGTATGGGCAATGTTGTGGAGCATGGGGAGTTATGATTATAACTCCGTACATGTGCCCACCTACGACAACTATTTGAATAAAAAATAATTATCTGATTTTCAAAAGTATATGGTAAAGTGTGCTAAAACGAAAAACTACAAACGTAGTAACATTATACTACTTATGTGTAGATATTATATTTCCAAAATAATTTCGTATCTCTTAAAACCATCGAATATGACTTCAATCTTTTCATTATTTTTTTCCCTCGCTCATTTCAGCGTGTTTTTGAAAAATCAATTTTTTTGTATTTTTCAACTTTCTCGGCGAATACTCAACATACGAACTTTCTTGCAAGATGACATATATGGGGTACAACATACGATAACTTTATCCTCAGTTGCTCCTTTCATCTTATGTGTGTGGACTTCTAGGTAATTCACCTAGGAAAATTGTAAATTTTTTCATTTTCATATGGAGTGACTATGGAACTGAGATGTGTCACCATGCTCAAATGTATACATATATCGTATGGTATTTATATGTAAAAGATTTTAAAATTGCTTATGTTGTTAAAAATTTTCTCGCTGATCTGGACTTTGATTTTTTTCGATTTTTTTAATTTTCGTTCCCCGCATAAATCGAAACAGTGAGACTTAAGTGCACAAAACTTTGAAGATACAGAGATAGGGTATAGTATAGCTGTGTGATTTATGTTTGTTTCATTTCGATAGTTAAGTATTCACTGAGATATAATGCATTTTGTGTCAATTTTTGAAAATCGATTTTTTTTCGAGAATCATTTGTATGTTATACGAGCACTAATCATATATGTTATATGTATATATATTTAGTTATAGGAATATATATATCTTACGTATATCTTTAGGCGAATTTTTGGTTTTACCGACGAAACTAATACATAGTTTTTCGTCCTATACTTAAAATTTTTGATAGACTTTGATAGGGACTTAGATTAGTTTCCCTTCGACTTTATGGATTTGTAGGAAGTACCAAGCGGCCGTGGATATAAACGTGACACTCCATTATATACGCTTATACTATGTTACTTGATATATGTTTTTTTTAGATATACTTCAGTCCAACTTATAAGCTTAGTATGTGTATAGTTAGCCATATACTTAAGTATTTGTTTTTTGAGTTTTCGCTTTAATATCTTTTTTTTCCTATATGATTATTGTATTTTGTAGTTATATATTGATGCTCATATAGCGGCCGTGATATAGTGACACTTACACTTAAAATCCAAAATATTTGGAAACCTAGAAGCGAAGCTGAACTCAACAGGTGTGGACGTAATGCACTCCTTGCTTACAGTCCTTCGTTCACACATGTCTTCACATTGGGTTACTATGAGCGGACCTTTTGAGTATGATTATTCGTATCGGTCACATCAGTGCATCACTTTCTAGATGGGCTTCTGGCTTAAGGGCTTCAGCCATTATCCAGACGGCGTAGATGCGCGACTACCGTTTCCGATAATCGCTAACAGAGGCATAATCAACAGTTCCTTCGTACTAATCAATCTACTCATGTCTATATCAGTAGGATAAAAAACTGGTCCGACGGTCTAACCAGCTCCACGATCCCTAATACGGGTGAACAATCCGACCTTAGCAACTTGTACATCATAGGATAGGAGAGCCGACATCGAAATAAAAGCTGCGTTGATTTGATCTCTTAGCAGCACAAGCCAGTTGTCCGGAGGTATTGTCTGTACCCAATCTCAGCACCTAGGCTATTTAGGGATCGTTGCCTTACTTTCGTAATGATCCTAGACAAAAGGCACAGTAATTGAGCTTTTGGCTTATCCTCAACGTGAGATTCTGTCCTCACTGAGCTCAACTTAGGAACCTTCGCTGCTCTTTCGAAGGTGTGCGCCCCGCCAATTCTATCTAGTCCTATTCCTTGTGATAGGTAAGCATAATTCCAACAGGGTAGTGGTTTTTTCAGATCGATTGCTCTCCCACTAGTCTACACCCGCAGGAACTTATACAGATAGACCAAAGTGAAGCTCTACAGGTCTTCTTTCCCGCTGGATATCTAGTGACCGTTCCATACAGTTGGTTCGCTGAGAGACAGTTTGGGACAGTGAGAACCTCATAGCTCCGTTCTGCAGGTCACATTAAGTGACGAGGTATTTCGCTACTTTGATAAGAGTCTATTACCCCAGCTATTTACCGGTGCTTCGTTGGCTTGAACCATATTAACAGACAGCACTGAGCAGGATTCATGTCGTTCACTGGCTATACTACCAGCGCGACACTACGTTTTTATTAACAGTTGGCTCTCGCGTAACAATCGGTTTGATTTTCATCAGAGCCAAGCTTTATCCCGAAGTTACAGCTCTAATTGGCCGAATTCCCTGAACTATATGCTCAATGGCATAGGCTACTACTAGAGACTGATGCGGTTATCGGTACGAGTGACACAGTAAACTATTTTTCGCTTCATGGACAATCCAATAGCCTTGACATAACGAAGCTATGTTTTGCCAGCAGAACGCCGCAGTTCGCCTGATGACAGTTTCCCTGGGTTTAGTACTGTCATTAGGAAAGAGATCTACCAACGGTATAAGATTGGCGGAGAAAAATAGTATGCGTTGCGCGAACTGTTGTCAGTTACAGAATATCAACTGTACTCCCTTTCTCCATTATTGAGATTAGGATCGACTAACTTGGATCTGTTTAAGTTGTCCAGAAACCTACTCCTCATCAGCCCAGGATACAGCTGGATAATCGCTACTTCAATTAGGATCTGTAATAGACATTCTTCGTCCAACTCACATTGCACCTTCACAAAAATGTCCACATCCCCTACTCTCAGTTCAATAGAATGATGTTGAGATCGGTAGTACTATATGCGCCATTCATTTTCGGGGCCCTAGTATTCGGCAGGTGAGTTTTAACAACTCTTTAGCGGATACCTGCTTTTAGGGGCACCGACCTGCTGTCTAAATACATGGACTCCTTTATGGTATCAGTGATATACATTTCGGCACCTTATTCAGACGTATGGTTCATCCATTTCGCCATGACGCTTACCGGTCAGAGCCACTTGTAACGCTAATTCATTTAAGCATTTCCAGTTAGGTAATGCTAACAAGGAGGTTCGAAGTTTGGAAATAAGTTGAGAACCGAAGGCTCCTGCCTCTACCATATTCTACTCCCTTAACTAAATGCATTACAGCTATCCTGAGGGAAACTTCGGAGGAAACCAGCTATTAGGTGGTTCGATGAGTCTTTCGCACCTTTACCTACATCAGAAAAATGATTTGCACATCAATAACCGTACGGTCTCCATCAGAGTTTCCCTGATCAACCTGTGCAGGCAAAGTTCACCACCTTTCGGGTCTATCAGTAATGCTCAGTAGCCATGCAAACGCAGTTGCTTTCTCTAGCCTTTACAGTTAACGTGCAAAGATCGCACTACAGATAAACTCCCTAATCGTGTTTCAAGACGGGTACTATAAATAGCCTTAACCCTAAGCAAGTTCAGGAACTTTTCCCTGTTTTAGAGTTCTTTTCATCTTTCGTTCACACTACTTGTAATCTATCGGTCTCCTCACGTTATTTAGCCTTGGATGGGACAACCACCCTTAGACACTACTCTCAAGTATCCGACTCTCCCGGTCATCGAAGCTTGCGGTTGTCATACGAGGCTTTTCTCTGAATCGCGCAGCATTCCATCTGACTTACCAGTGCAATAGGTGAACCGACTACATTTCCTTGCGGGATTAAGACGTTGGGCTGTTCCTTTTCGATCGCTTTACTAAGGGAATCCTAGTTAGTTTCTTTTCCTCCGCTTAATGAGATGCTTCAGTTCAGGGGTCTTCCTGCGTATGGCAGACTACGTGTTGTTTGTCTTATATATTATTTACTTATTCGCTTAGAATAAGAATTATTATAAAGATGTAGTACTGTCACCCATGCTTCTCGACCGAGATCGAGTTTAGCGCAATTTGCATTCAAAGATTAACTGTCATGATGTTTGCAACTCCGGTTATTAAACATTATGCCACGTTCTTCATCGTGTGAGGAGCAAGACATCCATTGCTTAGAGACTTGGTTTTTGATGAAGTTAGTTTTTAATTTTGTATTGGTTTTGTTTAATAAAAGAAGTTGGTGTTAGTTATTAAACTAGAACTGATCCAACGGCAGGTTACTACGTTACTTGTTACGACTTCTCCTTCCTCTAGATAAGTGATTTAATCACTTTCTGCTCGTAAGCATCGGTGATTTCACCGAGTCATCCAATCGGTAGGAGCGACGGGCGGTGTGTACAAAGGGCAGGACGTATTCAACGTGCGTTGTTGACACACATTACAAGGATTCCTGGTTCATGACGCTGATTACAAACGTCAATCCAACTACGTTAGGGATTATAAGAGTAGCGCACCCTCTCAGGCTCGCAGTCCTTTGATCTAACATTGTAGCACGCGTGCAGCCCAGAGCATCTAAAGGGCATCACGGACTGTTATTGCTACCTCTTCACCTGCTAAATCGCAGGGAGTCCAATTAGAACTTTAACGAAGGACTTCGGCAAAGTAATAATTGGCGATAATCTCGCTCGTTAGCTGAATCAACGCTAGCAGGTCACCACGCACCACAACGGCATGCACCACCAAAAACAATATCCTGAAGACCGAAGCCTGTCAGTCATAAAAAACATCTGGTCCTGGTAAGTTTCCCCGTGTTGATTCAAATTAAGCCACAGGCTCCACCCTGGTGTGCCTTCCGTCAATTCCTTCAGTTTCAGCTTGCGGTCGTAGTTCCAGAGCCCAAGAACTGATTTCTCCAAGATTCTGCATTAACAATGACAAACTCCTGTCGGATCGTTTAAGGTAGGAACTACCAGGGTTCTAATCTGTTGGATACTCTACTCTCGCCTTGATCGACAGAAACCTCTAGGTAGACGCTTCGCTCAGCTTTCTCTCATGAGTCAAGTATTCACCACTCGTCATGAGATAGATCTACCCGATGGCTCTCATTGAGTTGTTTTCGGAGAAAACAAAGATTCATACTGCGCTGAGTCATTCATGTGGCATACTCTAAGCGTCTGATTTGTTCACAGTGAACGTAAAAATACGTACGACATTGCTGGCATTCAGACTACGGGGTTTTAACTGCAACAATATGGGAGCAAACTCGCAGAGCTGGAATTACCGCAGCTGCTGGCACCAGACTGGCCTCTGCTAGGTTTCGGTACGGTGGAACGTCCCTACACAGTACCAAAGGCACAATGGAACTGGTCATTACCTCTCCGAAGTCTCGAGTGGGAAAGTTTCGCGCCTGCTGCTACCGTGGATATAGTCGCTATCTCAGGCGCTTCTCCGGCAGTCGACGGTAACCGCCCGTTACCCGTGTAGCCTACTAGGTAAAGACCCTAAGTAAAGCTGATAGGTCACTCAGTCGATGGCGTGCCTCTGATGAGGTCAACTTTTCCTCCATAATTCACATCTGGAGAAACAATCATGTTTAGCACCAGAGTTGCTGCTGCTATCCATTTAAGATGTTGGTCGCCGCCAATAGATTCTGAGCGTATTAATGAGCTATTCGCAGTTTCGTTCCTGAACTAACACTTGCATGGCTTAATCTATGACCTAAGTGTGCTTCCTTGGCAGGATAACCAAGTATCGCGATTAAAAAGATGTATTAAGATGTTTTTCCAATGTATCTTGTTATGATGCACTGAATATCCATAATACATGATGACGCGAAGTCATCGAAGTTTAATGCAAATTATAAATAAGCGCGTGCTGTAATTTCGCACTAAGACAGAATCAATATGTAACATATTAACTCGTCAGCCGTCTGGAGGTGATTTCCTGTTGATATACCAGACTCGGCTAGATTTAGTAGAAATGCTTATCTAACTGGAATCGTTTTGCACTTTCCATAGGAGCAAAAGGTCATGTTTTTCGGTCTACAAAATTCAATCGGTGGAGTCGAGTTTCAGGTTTTTTCGTCTTGCTCATACACAAGCGTCCCGAGCAAACTTTGTATGGGCAATGTTGTGGAGCATGGGGAGTTATGATTATAACTCGTAATGTGCCACTACGACAACTATTTGAATAAAAATAATTATCTGTTTTCAAAAGTATATGGTAAGTGTGCTAAACGAAAACTACAAACGTAGTAACATTATATACTTATGTGTAGATATTATATTTCCAAAATAATTTCGTATTCTTAAACATCGAATATGACTTCAATTTTTCATTTTTTTTTCCTCGCTCATTTCAGCGTGTTTTGAAAAATCAATTTTTTTGTATTTTTCAACTTCTCGGCGAATACTCAACATACGAACTTTTTGCAAGATAGACATATATGGGTACAACATACATAACTTTATCCTCAGTTGCTCTTTCCATCTCTTATGTGTGTGGACTTCTAGGTAAATTCCCCCTAGGAAAAATTTGTAAATTTTTTCATTTTCATATGGAGTGACTATGGAACTGAGTGTCACCATGCTCAAATGTATACATATTCGTATGGTATTTATATGTAAAGATTTTAAAAATTGCTTATGTTGTTAAAAATTTTCTCGCTGATCATGGACTTTGATTTTTTCGATTTTTTTAATTTTTCGTTCCACAGCATAAATCGAAACAGTGAGACTTAAGTGCACAAAAACTTTGAAGATACAGATAGATAGGGTATAGTATAGCTGTGTGATTTATGTTTGTTTCATTTCGATAGCTTAAGTATTCACTGAGATATAATGCATTTTGTGTCAAATTTTTGAAAATCGATTTTTTTCGAGAATCATTTGTAATGTTATACGAAGCACTAATCATATATGTTATATGTATATATCTTAGTTATAGGGAATAGTATATATCTTACGTATATCTTTAGGGCGAATTTTTTGGTTTTACCGACGAAACTAATACATAGTTTTTCGTCCTATCATCTTAAAAATTTTTGATAGACTTTGATAGGAGACTTAGATTAGTTTCCCTTCGACTTTATGGATTTTGCTGAGACTACCAAAGCGGCCGTGGATATAACGTGACACTCCATATATATAGCTTAATACTATGTTACTTGATATATGTTTTTTTAGATATACTTCAGTCCAAACTTATAAGCTTAGTATGTGTATTAGTTAGCCTATATACTTAAGTATTTGTTTTTTGGTTTTCGCTTTAATATCTTTTTTCATTCTATATGATTATTGTATTTTTAGTTAGTATATTTGATGCTCATATAGCGGCCCGTGGTATAAAAGTGACACTTACACTTGAAAAAATCCAAATATTTTGGAAACCTAGAAGCGAAGCTGAACCTCAACAGGTCGTGGACGTAATGCCACTCCACTGCTTACAGTACTTCGTTCAACAATGTCTTCTACATTGGGTTACTATGAAGCGGACTTTTGAGTATGATTATTCGTATCGGTCCAACATCACGTGCATCACTTTCTAGATGGCTTCTGGCTTAGAGGCTTTCAGCCATTATCCAGACGGCGTAGCTGCGCGACATACGTTTCGATAATCGCTAACCAGAGGCCATAATCAACAGTTCCTCTCGTACTAAATCAATTACTATCATGATGCTATATCCAGTAGGATAAAACAACCTGGCTCACGACGGTCTAAACCCAGCTCACGATCCCTAATACGGGTGAACATCCGACCTTAGCAACTTGTACATCACTAGGATAGGAAGAGCGACATCGAAGAATCAAAAAGCTGCGTTGATTTGATCTTTAGCAGCCACAAGCAGTTGTCCGGAGGTAACTTGTCTGTCACCCAATCCTCACGCACCTGAGGCTATTTAGGGATCGTTAGGCCTTACTTTCGTAACTGATCCTAGTACAAAAGGCACAGTAA